TATCCGGTATGATGGGTCTATGAATATGGATGCCTAAAAAGATTTGTAAGTCTGATCTCGGACATCAGATTTGGAGACTTTTAGAAAGAAAAATGTTGCAGGTTTAAAGTAACTTGGAAGAGGAGGAAGAGGGAAGACGTGGGTAAGACTAAGTTTAAAATATACAAAATTTTTGGAAACATTTTTCAATGTAGGCACAGGAACTTTTCTCAAAAGTCTAAAAATAGAAATAACTACAAATCAGAGACATCAGAGATGCACCAAGCTTTTTCCAACGTGAATCTGTCTCTGTGATTATCTGCCAATACTGAGCACCGCTCAACTTAAAAAGCATACTGATCAATATCTGAATCCCAAGTATACATTAACATTATATGGTTATATTTAGAGCAAATATAGTGGAAATGTTTGTCTAGAAAAACTGGGTCAGGACTCTCTTATACCTGAAAGGGACTGAAAGGAGTCGTCGGGAAGCTAAAAGAGCCACATCATAGAGGCCTCGTCTTCTCTTAGAGCCAGGAAATTACCAAATTATATGAAGAAAAGGGGAAGGATGCATCAAAGTTTGAATTCTCACCTTCTTTTCCAGCAAAATGAGCTTAAAGAGGATGAGAGCCTGCAAAGATTTAAAAATAAAAAATGTAAATAAACAGGATATTTTGGATGGATTTTAGTGCTTAAAGTAATCAGATTTTCCCCACCTTGTGTCTGAAGTGCAGGATTAGATCTCTCGGTGACATCCCTGATGGGAGAAAAACAAAATGTTTATGAAAAGGATCAATAAAAGCTGAGATTTGTTGTTAAACCCTCCCGTTATCCGACAGATCTGGCACGTACCCAGATAAACCTGTGATCCGTCCAGAGCTGAACCCCTCAGAGAGCTGTTCATGTGGTCGTACAGTTCCTGCAGCGAAAACAGGAGGTGAGCAAGCAGCTGACCGCAAGGTACAAATACGACTACCTCACTCAGACAGGTTTAGTCTGACTGTTTTCTCACCTTCAGGATTGAGATCTGTGAGAAGTCTTTCTCCTCGAAGTAGGCGTGTGTGATGAGCTGAAGTTTGGCTTGGAGCAGACCGTAGAGAGGCTGCGAGGAAATGCAAACACACCGTACGTGAGTGAGTCATTTACAGTGACCCATAAAAATCCTGCGAGGCTAATTTCTGCTTTATATTTATTTAGCATGGGTGG